GGGGGGGCGGGGGGGGGGGGGGGGGGGGGGGGGGGGGGGGGGGGGGAGGCTGGATTGATTTGACGGCGAAGAGCTCGACCCCGGATAATCCAATAATAAAATAAGCCTTTTTACTTTTCGTCCTTGTCCCCCTCCCTCCCTCAATCCCACCTCCCATCCTACATAGCATCGTCAGCCCCCCCCTCTCTCGCCCCCTCCCACCAATCGCACCACCCCTCCCAAACCCCTCCCTTACGCCAATCGGCGCACTAGCTACTGGCGACATTAATGCCATGGAAATCGACGAACGGCTCACGTGGATTGGACGACAGCGCGGCCGGGAAAAGCCGGGAGGCGAGTTGGTGCTTAATGCGTCGTGGAGGAAGAGGACGGAAAGGAGGAAGAGCGATAATCCGAGGAGTCCCGGCGATTACGCGGCTTCGTAAACGATTGTATCGGCGTTTGTGCGCGATGCGAGAGGTTGGGCGGTACGTTTAGATCCCCGAGGCTGTGTGCACTCGAAAAATCGAGGGGACAATGGGGTGGGTTGGTAACGAGGCACGATTACAACCCTCTAAGAGGGAGATGTAATGAAGGAAAAGGGCTTTATTACGCGAGCAGAGCCTGACATCTAACCTGACGTGCACACATGGGGCAGCTCGCGTCACCGAGCTCGTGTCGTCGCGCTTTTTCGCATACCTAATCCCGATGCTTTGGCTTAGTGTCAAGTATCGTGGCTGGAGATTGGCGGACGTTATAATTGCGGGAGTGCGACGTGGGGATTTGTCCGGCTGGGGAATAATAATTATTACTTTCGGATCGAATTTTATATGCAAATGTAGAAATACTGGGTATATCCGTGGCGCGCTCTATTCACAGAACTTTCCCGAAAAATAGCGGATTTTGTACAGCCCCATCGGGACTTTGCTCCTCGAACGCTGTTTTCATAATTTATCGAGGATTAACTATTTCCGACTATCTGTGTATTAATAATTTAAGAGACTTTTCCAAAGTTCTGGAGTTAGTCGTCTAGCGAGATAATTTGAATTCCTCAAAATCCTTTCGCACTGGATTGCAATTCTTTCTAATATCGCGCAGAGCGTCCGAGCGTCGAATAAAAGTCGAGAGGGATTTGAGTAACTGAGAATTATCGATAAAAATATTTCTCGCGTTGTATTACCGTTAATATTGTTATAATGATGTTTGGCGTCATTAATGCTTGTGTTACGAGTATTTTAATAGATTATTTTTCGAATTATGACAGTCGAAGTATGTTAAAACTTTTTTGTTTTGCTTATTTGTTTTGTTTTGTTTTGTTTGGTTTTTTTTTTTTTTTTAAATTTTGTTTTTAATTGAAGCAAGAATATAACGATATTACTATAAAAGCATTTATATGTTTTCATTTTAATTTTGCTCGGCAAAATGCATCAGACACTTGTATGGATCTATTTTTATGAGCTGCAAAAATTGTAAAGCAACGTCGCGTCGTAAGAGAAAGTAGAAATTTAGTTTATTAATTTAATTAAATTACAGCAACTGTATTAATAACTTTTAGATTATTTAACAATCATTATATCAGTAGATTAGTGATTTAATGGACTTGACAGAAAAGTAATAATTGATAGAGCTTAAGTGTATTCACGTGTAGAATCTACAATTTTTTTATTTTGCAAAAAAACACAAAACATTACTCTGTTTGTATACGAATAATTGCATATATTTTATCATAATTCTTTTAAATTATTGATGAATTTGTGGTTTAAACAATATCATGTCATTTTCATAATTTTGAGCTAAAAATCTGAAATATTTTCTTACGGTTACGTACCGAGACAACAAATTAGAATAAATAACTAATAATTGATGGTTTTTTTTTTTTTTTTTTTTTGTTGAAAGAAATACTAAACTGTTATAAGAAGATTTTTCAAATTAATTAAAGGTCTATAGATCTTCACTAAATAGGGGAAAAAAGAAAGAGTTTTTTACTTCATTTAATATAAATTGCATAGACTGCAGTCAATACCATCGTTGACATTATTCATAATAATTATTTTAATCTGTAAG